GGGAACGGTCCGTGACTCGCTTGGTCATCGATGCTTCGACGAGACGTGCAATGTCAACAGTTCACTGCCTTGACGGTCCATTGGGATTCTTCGAACGTACTTGACATAGCCCCTCGTCAGTCCTGACCGTCGGCGTTGTGCGGCCCCATGGTCGCTCTCGCCTTTTGCACCAGCGCCCATAGCGCTTTTGCTCCACGTTTCGCGTGAACCACGTACGTAGTACAAGTCCAGCCGAATTGACCCTAGGACCTGCCGTTTTGATGCTACCTACTGCGTCGCCCATTTTCTTCCAGTGCTCTTTCATCGTGGTGAAGCCCCTCCACTCTAGTCTGCTCTGGTTTGCTCGGCGCCTACTCCGCCCAATATCGCCACATTTGCTCGAGCTCATTGCTATACCACCACGTATTCAGCTCAGCCAAATAGAGAGCACTGTACGACGGCCATGTCGCAGAGCACGCGTTTTGCAGTCGGCGTCGGCGCACGCAGTTGTTGCATTTTGGCCCATAAGTATACGGATCGAAGAAGGCGACCGGATCCCACCAAGCCAGTTGCAACCCATCCTTGCCATCATGGATATGCACCCGACAATGCACGTAGTAGCTTCCTCTAATGTCCTGAGGCCTCGTAGTATTCGCACTCTCCATAGTGTGAAAATGCGCTGTCCAAGTTCTTGGTCTCGTCAACCCGTCCGTCATGTGGCCAGAAGCTCCGTCCCCGACCAAGACCATCCATACTAGTATGCAAGATTCGAACTTGACGTGTATACGCCGGGCAGAGTTCCTGCACCTGCCTTGCGTCTCAAAGAACCGACTGCGGACATTGGTGCAATGCATGCTCAGGGTTCGAATCGCCGCTACCAACACGCCGCTACCATGAGACGGACGCCGCCGCTTCGATTCTCAGACACCCGAGATCGTTGTGGACACAGCACGTCCTCTCGGCGACGACCGCCTCGTCGTGGCGTCGAGTCGCACACAAGTGGCTGCAAATCGCCAGGACATGATCCTCCCGACGCGGACAACAGATGGCGCGTCCAGTCAGAACGTTCGAAACAGAGAGGCAGACGACACCAACATATGTGTGTCAAGATCGACTTTTGATGTGGTGATCTCGGAGATCCATTTTACCTTTTCCCCTTTGGCCATGAAGTCCATCTTCCTCACAACCGCCCTTCTCGCGGCGTCGGCGACCGCGCTCGAGATGACCAACAAGGAGCGCAACGAGCTCCTCCAAGAACTCGACGCGTGGAAGAAGAGCCAGGCCGGCAAGGCCGCCGTCGTCCAGGGTCTCCTCCCGCCCAAGCCGCGCACCGAAAGCTTCAACGCGCACGAACAGCTCGAGACGGAGCTCACGCGCTTTGCCCACACCAAGAAGGTCGTCGCGGACCTCAACAAGGAGCACAACGGGTCGGCGACCTTCTCGACCGACAACCAGTTTGCGCTCATGACGGACGCCGAGTTTGAAAAGTTTGTCAAGGGCGCGTTCGAGTCGCCCCCCAAGAAGCGCCAGCTCCGCGGTGAAAACATCCAGCTCCAGCTCACGCCAGCGCAGCGCGAGGCGAGCGGGAAGGACTGGACGACGGGCAAGTGCATGCCGGCCATCAAGAACCAGGGCAGCTGCGGCTCGTGCTGGTCGTTTGCAGCCGTCGGTGCGTCTGCGATGGCGCACTGCCTCGTCACGGGTCAGCTCATCGACCTCTCGGAGCAGCAGCTCGTGAGCTGCGCGTCGAGCGCGGGTCAGGGTTGCCAGGGCGGCTGGCCCAACAAGGCCCTCGAGTACATTGCGCAGACGGGCGTGTGCTCGTCGTCCGACTTTCCGTACACGCAGAGCGACAGCCAGTGCAAGCAGAACTGCAAGAAGAACAAGCTCAGCGTCGGTCGCCCGGTCGACATTCGTGGCGAGAGCGCGCTGCAGTCGGCGCTCGACAAACAACCGGTGACCGTCGTCGTCGAGGCCGGCAACAACGTGTGGCGCAACTACAAGAGCGGCATTGTCAAGTCGTGTCCCGGCGGCCAGTCGGACCACGCGGTCATTGCGGTCGGGTATGGCTCGGACGGCGGCAGCTACTTCAAGATCCGCAACTCGTGGGGCACGGGCTGGGGCGAGCGCGGCTACATGCGTCTCCAGCGCGGTGGCGGCGGTCAGGGCATGTGCAACGTGGCCGAGGCGCCGTCGTACCCGTCGATGAGCGGCAAGCCGCAGCCCGACAACGGTGACAACGACGACATGCCGACGTCCGACCCGGACGATGACAACAACAACGACCTCCCGACCGGTCCCCCGGATGATGACAACAACAACGACCTACCGACGGGTCCTCCGATCGACGACGATGACAACGACCTCCCGACGGGTCCCCCGATCGACGACGATGACAACGACCTCCCGACCGGTCCTCCGGATGATGACAACAATGACTTTCCCACGGGCGAGCCGGACGACAACAACGACTGGGACGACAACAACAACTGGGATGATAACAACAACTGGGACGACCAGAACAACTGGGACGACCAGAACGGCGGCGACGACTGGAACTGGAACGGCGGCAACGACTTTTGGGGCCACTAGATAGCTCGACGGACGTTTATTTGTCAACACTAATGTATACTCTATGTGTAATGCAACTGCTTGATGGTCAGTCGACGCTCTAGCGATGGAGCGACCCCGTCGTAGAGAGCCAACTTGGTCCTACCTCGTCGGGATCAGCTCTGTCGTTGACCTCGCGCGATCTGACTCTTCGCGCTCGTGCGTAACGCATTACCGCATAAAACCTCATTCGCCTCGAGCTATTATCCTTCCCTTGCACAAGCAAGGCAGCAGCTAGCACCGCGTGCGTCTCGCCCTTGGTCCCAGTGACATGAGCCATGAGCATTGACCCATATACAGACGTGGTTCCACCGCTTCATAGGGCGCGACCTTGGTCCTGAGCGGGAGCACTCAGAGTCGATGCATGATGTTCTAATAAGAGGAGGGAGTTGACGAGGCGTTAAATAAGTCTGTATTGATATATTGATACTAGCACCGCTCAAGGTGATGGCGTCGCGAGCCACGCTTCGACGACGTAGGCGACGAGGAGACGCGAGGTGACACTGACCGCGGTAGCAACGCGATCCAAGATCACATCCAATGCAATGATCCAGTGCATCGCAGCGGGTACGACGGTCGATGTTCCGTCAGGCAGGAGGCACTGCCACAAAAACAAAAGCACCAGCAGGCCGCTGTGTGGCACCGGCGTGCACAGCGAGCCGCCGAGGCCACCGAGGAGGACGACGAGAAGCGCGCTGTGGTCGACAGCACTCGACGCCGGCTCGTTCGTAAGCAGGAAGAAGAGACTCACGACCAAGTAAAGCACCGCGCCGTCGAGGTGGACGGCCGTGCCCGCGGGCAGCACGAGCCGCGCGACGGGGCGCGACACACGCAGAGTCTTGTCAACGTACTCGACGGCAAGCGGAAGGGCAGCGAGCGACGAGGCGGAGAAGAGACCAAAAGCAATGGGGACGCCAAGGCGCATGAGAAAATTTGGTATCGGGTTGGAGCGCGTCACGAGTGCCGTCACCGCGGTCAGCAGCGTCACGTGAAGGACGGAAGCGACGAGGAGGGCGCCGAAGAGCCTCGTCAGCGCGGCGCCTTCGTGCGCCAATGTCTCAAAAATGCTCGAGTGTTTAATGTGCCGAGGCAGGAGGAATGCCGGCGCGTGGTCAAAGGCAATAGCGTCGGTGGGATGCAATGCCTTCCACGGCGCTGGCGTCGGGTCGTCGGGCACGATGAGCGCGGCGCCGACAAGAAACACAAGTGCAAGCGGCACGCAGCGGGTGACCCAGTGCACCATCGTGACGCTGGCGCTGTTGAGTTCGCGGACGAGGCCCCAGACCAGCTTGGATCTTGGCACATTGGCGAGCGCACCGCCGAGGAAGAGGGCGCAGATGATCAAGCTCACGTTGGCACCTTCGTCAAAGATGTCGAGGAGCTTCTTGGGCATGACGGCATCGAGCATGAGCGCGAGCATCGACGCGCCCGAGTCGTCCGTTGCCATCTTCATGCGCGACTGCAGTTTCTTGTCGCCGACTGCAAAGTACGTTGTGCCATCCTCGATGCGGCTTCTCGTGTCGCAGCGGAGGACGCCGTCCACAAAGCGCAGCGTGGCTGCTGGCGTGGTCGGACACGCGAGCTCCACGACGCTCAACACGTCTGGGAGGGCCGTCGCATTGTGATGTAGCGTCCAAAAGCACGAAGGGAGAAGGTAGGTTGCGGTCACGTAGCCCGAGAGCGCAGCGAGGCATGTCGTTGCGAGAAAGCAAGTGATCGTGAGCAGCGTGAGCCGCGTGCCGACGCCGCCCGACACCACGTCGGCAAACCCGACGATGACGTTGAGGAAGATGGTGGGGATGAGCAGACACGTGAGCGCGCGAAGGAAGAGCGCGCCGGGGAGGTGCAGCCACTGCACGATCGCGATCCGGGACGCAATGGCGTCCGACTGGCGGCGGAACACCGCTTCGTACACGTCTCTGCTCGGTGCAAGATGTAAAACGTCGGCGTAGAGGTCGTCGATCGACGTCGCCACACTGCAGACGTACGCGATCCCGATACCGAGGCCGGTCGCGAGGAGAAGGCCCGAGAGGCCGAAGTAGACCCGCTTGTACCACGTGGTTTGCGTCGACGGCGCCCGCCAGATCGACGCGTAGTACGCGTCGTCCATCTCGTCGAGCAAGACGATGGACGCGGTGGGCGAGGCCATGCTGATTCCCAAGTGATCGTTCGTTGCTCACAGTAGGTCTTTCCCATGGGTCTTTCTCGAGCGGTTGCCGTTGGTGTCCTTGACGCAGCAACCGACGACGACCACATGGTCTGGACCATGACATGGTGGGAGCGGTCGTCGCGTGTCAAGTATTTTTATTGTTTCGGATCAATATTGCATACAAAATGCAAGAGAACATCGAGATATTTAAATACCAGAAAGGCCGTCTGAGTACACAATCCCTTGGCAGCGAGAGACACGAGAGATGCGACCAGCGCCATCGCGAGCGCCAGGAATCTGGAGACGACGAGCCTTTATGGCGAGCAGTCGCGACGTGCGATAGAGCGCACAGCGTCACGACATGGCTGAACGAGTACACTGTATAGTGAAGACGAGATGTTGACGCTGCCAGCCTCTTTGCAACACAGAGCTTGTCGGCAATCTCCGATCATGGAGTCAACACAGGAGTCGACGATGAGCGCAACTCGGGGGTCGACGATGATGACTCGAGGACAGGCCAGCGCTCTGATATCGCAGATTCTGAAAGATCTCGCAGAATGTCGGATACTTTTGACGATTCGATACGCAAAATTTGACTATGGTTTCTCGAAAATAATGTGAAAGGAATAGAGACGTCATCTCGTATTGTCTTATTGCTGCGTGTGCTTTGCTCCATGGCGAAGACCAGCGAATGTTCATTGCCGATCGCTTGGCGTCGACAACGACGTTCCCAACCCCACGCGTGTCCAGGACATTCGGGTACTACTATAAAAATAGCAATATTTACCTCGGTGAGAGAGAATCTCCCGTATTAAACACACGTCCAAAGGAAAATTCCCTTTAAACGTCAAAAACAACCGTTTCAAGAGAGTTGAACGAATTCGGCAACCTGGGAACGGCCAGCGACAGATCTTGGGTCCCATGAAGCTGCTCAAGGCGCTGCACGCGAACCGCGGGGTCCTCACCGCGCCGTCCCTTTCGGCGCCGCATCTGCAAGAGTCGCTGCCCGTGGCGACGCTCCTGCGCCAGGCCATGGCGCTCTCGCAGCGCCTGCCGCCGCCCACTTCGCCGCGCCCGATCGCGTTCGTCGCGCACCGCGTACGCCTCGTCCTCGCATGCGACGGCTCATGGCGCCTAGGGCCTCGACTACGTCCGTGCGCAGTGGGCCATCTGGCTCGCCAACCACATTGCTGTTCCGCTCGCAACGCACAGCGCGCCGCCCGAGCTCCGCCACATCCTCCAGTACGTCGCTCGACCGCGTCCTCGCTCTCAGCATTTCTTAGGGATTCGGGTGCGTCGCATGTCATTGGCCACCCGCTCATGGACACGGCGTCATTGCCGGTACCAACGATCGCGTATGCGTCGGCGCACGAGGCCACCGAAGACGAGTTGCTCGAGCGGCTTCACGCGGCCGCCGCCGACGACGCCATGCTGCTCTACACGAGCGGGACGACCGGCGCTCCCAAAGGCGTCTTGGCCACGCACGAGAGCCTCTTTGCGCAGGTCCACGACGTCATTAGCGCGTGGGAGATCACCGAACACGACCGGTTGCTGCATTTTTTGCCTCTGCACCATACGCACGGGATCGTCAACAACCTCCTCGCACCGCTCGCGGCCGGCGCCCACGTCGACGGCCTCGCCAAGGCGTCGCCCAACGACATTTGGCACCGGTACATTGTATTTCTTATTGTCCTATTGTGGGTATTCATGTGGACACTCAAGTCTCTCGGACCCCGCGACAGCGCCGAGCGTGCTCATGGCCGTGCCGAGCATTTACATGCTGCTCCTCGAGACATTCGACGCGATGGATGCGAGTGCCAAGGCCAAGGCCCTTGCCGGCGTGCGTGAGCTGCGTCTCGCGATTTCTGGTGCGCGTCCGAGAAAAGTATCAATATATCAAGCGGGACATTTGGTAGGAAGCATGGCCTGCCCGGTGTCGATCCTCGAGCGCTGGAAGACCCTCTCGGGTGGCCAGATGCTGCTGGAGCGCTACGGAATGACCGAGTGCGGCATGGCGCTCGGGAATCCGCTCCACGGCGACCGTCACATTGGCTACGTCGGGCAGCCGTTTCCGAGCATTCGCGCGCGCCTGGCGCCCGAGGTACTCGTCGACGCGTCCAGGGATGTACCGACTGGACCAACGTAGACGAGCGAGCTTCAAGTGCAGGGCCCGACGCTCTTTAAGGTAGCCTCACGTAGGAAGACGAATCATCTGCATGACTGTACGTGCAGGAGTACTGGAGACGCCCGGTCGAGACGAAGAAGGAGTGGACGGACGACGGCTGGTTCAAAACCGGTGATATCGCCGAGTACAACGAGTCGATAGCGAGCTACCGCATCGTGGGCCGAGCGAGCGTCGACATCATCAAGGTACGAGCTTTGTACGGGTTGGAAGCGCCGACCAGCTGCATCTTGTTGGTGCGTAGAGTGCTGGGTACAAGATTTCGGCGCTCGATGTCGAGCAAGCGGTGATGGAGCACCCGCAGATCATGGAGTGTGCGGTCTACGGCGTCGCGGACGAGACGTGGGGCCAGATCGTGACGCTCCTGGCGCGCCCGTCCGACGCGATTGCAGGTAGCTTGGCGCGCGTTGCACATCGCGAGGGTCAACGATGACGTAGACGTGGCCCATTTGGCCCCGCCCCTCGACGCGTTTCTGTCGGCGCGCCTCGCCAGCTACAAGCGCCCCCGCGTCGTGCATCTCGTGACGGAAATCCCAAAGAACGCCATGGGCAAGATCAACAAGAAGCAGCTGCCCGCGCTCTTTGACCAGGCCCAAGGACAATAGTGTACATATTACACGAGACCTAGGCGTCAAAGTCGTCTAAACTATAACTCGACTCGGCATGCAACAGCGTCGGAGGCGCGTCCTACATGGTCGATGAGACATGTGGAAGAGACTGGGTGAAGACCGGTTGCTCGGGAGCGTCATCAAAGTCGTTGTCATACGACCGGTTGGACGGCAGCGGCGACGCAGAAATGACAGATGAGACGCTTCCCCGCTTGGCCAGGGATGGTGGGCGGTGGTCGCTCGGCGGTGTGTACAAAGTGTCAAACGTGTCGTCGAGGACGGCGTTGGACGCCAGCGACAGACTCGGCATCGTCGCCACCGGTGCACTGTCGTCGCTGAACCGGCTCGTGTCGGTGGCTTCAGATGGGTTGTCCTGCGTCGGTAGGGTGCCGCCGGAAGCGACCTGGTCGTCGGTGCGCGCGGTCGGCGATGAAACTGCGGTCGCCGGTGCGGCGTCGGTGCGAGCACTGCCGTCGTCACTGTACCGAGGCGTGGTGTCGTCGCCAGTAGCACGCTCCAGCAACAGTGGAGCGACTGCTGGCGCCGTTATTGACATTGTCGGCTCGATCGTGGTCATTACGATCGCATTTGTTGGCTCGGGAGCTGCGTCACTGCGGCGGCCCGTGTTGGTCTCGTTGACGATCTCGTCCGCCACTGGGCTTGCTGTCATCGGTGGCGAGATGTCGGCGCCCATCAACGAAGTTGCTTGCTCGCTTATAGCCACCGGTGGCGATACTTCGGCGTCATTGTACAACTCGGTGTCGTCGTCGTACTCTGTTGCGTCTGCGTCGGTCGACGGCTCCTTTGATGACACCGACGGCGGTTCGTTGGTGCCTTCCGATGACTTGTCCTGTATGGCGACAGACGCTTCAGCGGGGACCATATCGACGCTGACGTTGCTGTATCGACCCGTGTCCGGATCGTTTTCATAAGCGTCGTCCTCGTACACTTGGTCGCTGTCGACGGCGGCGGCCTCCTCCCGCGCTGCTGACGGGGGCATGACGGCCTCCGAGCCTCCAGAGATCGCTGGCACCACGGGCCGCGGCGCTATGTCTGCTGGTGTCGCGTCCGGGCGGTGGTCGTCTAGCAAATGCACTTCGTCCCGGGCAAAGTCGACCGAGTACTCGTCTTCGTCGTACGGGCTGTGCTCCACAGAAGTGGTCGCCGAAGGGATGGCAGCCGAGGTTTCCAGCGGTGCGTCGCTTGCATCGGCAACAACACCATCGCCCGCATCCTTGGTGTTACCAGTGTCGGTCAGCAAAGATGGGCGTGGGGGCGGCTCCGTCTTCGATGGCACCGCACTTTCTGCTACGAGAGCCGACTCGATGCGAGGACTCGCGCTGCTGTATCGTCCCGGGTCCTCGCCGCCGAGCTCGTTTGCCGTCTCTTCACGTCGCACGTCGTCTGGTCGTGCCATCGATTGTGCCAATGCGGTATCTTGGGCGGACGCGGTGTCGAGCGTCGCCGCTAGATCACCGCTTGCTGACGGCTCGTCGTCGTAGAACACGTCCAGCGCTGGCGGCTCGCTCATCGAAGCCGCCTCTTGGATCGGTGTCGAATCAATGTTGCTCTGCGGCGGTGCGTCCGACGACGTCGTGATATCAGCACGTTGGTATATGGGTTTATCTTCTCCCTCGACGGTTGGGGCGGGTACTGTGGGTGCGTCGGGCACGCGGATCTCGACTATCTCGACGCTGCTGTCGTTTGACAAAGTGTCTTGGTTGAGCTCGCCGTCGTCACTATACCTCGCCGAGTGTCCTGGACTCTCGCGAGCCGTCGGCGCCCTCTCAGAAGTGGCAAGCATCTCGGGTGACCCATTGTCGTTGCTGTAGCGAGCAGAGGTGGTGTCGGTGTCGTGGCCGAGCGTTGGCTCGTTGGTCAACGGAAGCGGTAGGTCGGCGTCCAAAGCAATGTCGTTGGCTCGTGGTGTCGATGCGTCGTCGCTGTACCGCGCTGTGCTACTGCGGGAGGCGACAAGAGCGGTCGCCAATGGAGCCTCGTCGTGACGGCCTTCGTCGTCGCTGTAGTCGGCTTCAGTCGCATCCGTGTCGGTGGTGCCCAAGCCGACGGCGTCGTGTGCCGCTACTGCCGACGTCAGTGCATTCGGCAGCGACACGTCGTCGTCTGCCACAGTTGGTGTCGCGACGTCCGACGTGAGGTCGATGCCGACACCGATCGATGCTTCGTTGTTGATCGAGCGAGCCGAGTCATCAAACGCTTCTTCGTACACGTCGTCCCCGTTGTCGCGGGCGCTGGCGACTGTCATGCGCTCGGTCGTGTTAGTCTCTTGACGGGAGGTTCGAGCACCGTCGTCGACTCCACGAGAGCTGTCGAGACGGTCATTGGACGCAGAGGGTGGGACAACGGGAGACGCGTCACTCTCATCGGGTCTTGCGTCGGCAACCAGCGTCAACTCTGTTGGATCAGTGTCACGCGTCAACGACACACAGCCCGCAGCATTTGTCGATGGCGAGAGATCAGTCGTCGCAGCAGCATTGCCATCTTGCACCGCATCTTGGTCGACGGCATTCGGCTCTTGGGTCGCTTCAACGGTAGTGTCCGCATCAACAGCAGAGAACATCGATGGTGGAGTGCACTCCGATGCACCTTCTTGACCTTCACCAACGTCACTAGTCGGTGCAGCGTCGGCAGCCTCGGACGACGTTGGCAACGCGTCCGCCGAAGCGACTGCAGCATCCGTGCCATCCACCGTCGTCTCGTCGGTGCTGTTATCAATGGCACTTTGCACGGGTGGCAAGGACGCGTCGTCCATACGATCGACAACGTCGTCGACGTGCAGTGTCGCATCGTCGTCGTGTGAAAAGTCGGGAAGACGGGGCGTGAGCTCAAAGTCGGGGCGCTCAGGCGCGACTCCTGCCGGTTGCAGCCGCGCCGTCGTCGTCGCTTCCGTCGCCATTGGTGCGTCATCGCATTCGATCACGAGCTCTTCGCCGCGGGCGCTGGCTTTCTTACACGGACTCGGCACGTGCAGCGGGAGTGCCACGTCATCGATGCCATCACCGATATCGACCGGCACATCAAAGTTGAAGGCCAATGGCGGCACAACACTGGCAGCGTTGACAGCCTCGATCTCGCCAACAGTTGCCAGGAGCGTCGACTCGGACGACGGCGCGTCGAGGTCCATCCAATCAGATGGCGGCATCGGCGATTTGGACCCATCACCTGGGTACTCTGCCGGTGTCGGCACTCGGCAAGACACCGCAGCATCGCTGCTGTCGTCAAGGAGTATTTGGTCTGTTGCGCCGGCAGCCATTGAAGTACGCTCGTCGCCGGCGCGCGATGGTGGCAGCGAGCCAAAGTCGTCGGCAGCGTACTCGTCAACTGGTGCACTTTTATCGTCCGTGGTTGTGACCGATCGACGATCTTTGGGTTCAACGATGCCGTCGTTGGACGCTGACAGGGCTTCAAGCGCGTCCGCCTCCTCCATCGGCGCCATCTCCAGGTCGGTCGGAGCCATCGGCAGAGTATCCGGGTGTTCCCGCGACGGTGGTGGTGAGCCGAAATCGTCACCGGCGTACTCGCCGTCGTCGTCTTCTTGAACGGCTTCCATCACTTGAGCGCGACGCTCAGCGACCCGCTACGAGCCGTGAGGACACGCCGATCGTCTCTGGCAACCGACCTTTTTTGCGGCCCGTTGGCGAATGAGGCACTGAATGTGCAGCGCCGCGCTGTCCTTCTCCGAGACAAATAGATTGGTCGTCGTTGGTGGAGCTTGGCTCAGCGTCTCTTGTCGGCGCATGGCTACCGCCTACGCCCCGCCATGAGCCAAAGACAAGGGCCTTTCTAGCTCTACTTTCTTGGCGGCGCTCTGCCGAGCGATCGACTGAATACGCACGGCAGCCCGGTCCTTGTCCGAGGCGCCAAACGAAAGCGACCGCGCGGGCAGCCGAGGGCGCATCGCCAGCCGCTTGGCGTCCGCTGCCTACACATGCAATTACATCTCCCAGAGACTATGTGGCGAGTCAGTCGTACTTTGATCGCCGCGCGCCGTCGGGCAAGGCACTGGATTCGAAGGGCCGCGGCGTCGAGGTCATCGATCGCTCCACGCGCGTCCTGGCGGCGCGTGGCGACCGTCTACCGACAAACCGTCAGCTCCACAGACGAGGATACGCACGCACAATTCGGGCAGCGCGCTGTCGGGCAAGACACTGAATTCGCAGCGCGGCGTCGGCTTGGTCGAGCTGCATGACTGGCGATTGGCTCTCGCGTCGCCGCCGCGCCACCGTCTACGCAAGGTCGCTCGTGTCAGCAGCGTAGACTTGTGTGGGATGCCTGCCTTTTTTGCTGCACGCTGGCGAGCGAGGCACTGAATTCGGAGTGCAGCGACGTCCGTGTCGTGCTGGATCGAGAGCGACGCCTGCAGCACCCTCGACTGCCGCCGCCGGTCGGCCACCCGCTAGAAAGGCGCTGGAGAAATGTTGGAGATAGAAGAATACCATTTTGGCGGCTCGCTGCCGCGCCAGGCACTGAATGCGCAGCGCGGCAATGTCGGCGTCGTAGCGGCTCTCGCAACGCCGCGCCTGGTCTCGCCGCTCGGCCTCGACTCGCTAGGTATTTGTGCGTTGATTGACGATCATGCGACGATATCGCAAGTAAAAACGTACGCGTCGCGCGGCCCGCTGTCGCGCGATGCACTGAATGCGAACCGCTGCTGCGTCGCAGTCCAGCTCTAACTGCGGCGCCGTGCTTCGTCGAACCTCGTTGCGCTTGGCCGTGACGCGCTACCGTCATCCCACGCTGAGCTCGGAGCGAGAACAAGGCAATAAACCTTTTTCGCAAAGCGCTGGCGGGCCAAGCACTGGATGCGAAGGGCAGCGGTCTCCTCGTCGACAAAGAGAATCGGTGATGATACGCTCGTGAGCAGCTCGTGACGCCTCGCCGTCACCCGCTACGCACCGCCGTCCATCCAACGCGATCATTGAATCAGCGACCAAGTACCTTTCTCGCGAGGCGCTGGCGGGCCAAGCACTGGATACGCACCGCAGCGTCGTCGGCGCTGTACAAGTCGAGCGGATCTGGCGGCGCCGACAGGCGGTGCGGTCGCGCATCGTGGTCGACTGACGTGGCGTGCGCCAAGTGAGCCAGGTGTGGGTGGGCATGCAGGTACTCGATGCTCTTCTACAGCATCAAAGCATGGTCAGCTTGCACACTCTCAAAATTTCCGAAAACTCTCGAAATTTCCCGAAAATCTCAAAAATCTCGAAAATGCTCGCACCCGGGCTTTGCGCTGGATGGTTTCAAACGCCGGTGCAATGTCGACAACAAAGTCGGCTTGCTGGGCCACGAGCGATCGGCGCCGACGCACCTCGACGACCGGTGCGGCTGCTTTTTGTTCTTTTCGTTTTTTGGCCACTCGTTGACGCGAGAGCCGTTGCCGCGACGCGCATTGAATCCTACTTGGAGCATGTCGACCATGCTACGCAGGTGTAGCGCACCGCAAGATGGCGGCGTCTTGAGCGTTCAGGAGCGCGTCGTTTCGGGCGGCACCGTCGGCAGTTTCAAGCTACGTAGGTCGCATGTGCAATATGGGTCTGTCATCGTGACAGGCTACCTGCAACACATGGTCTTCGTAGTCTCGAAGCTGGTCCGCGCTCATAAAGAGTGTTGGATTCTTGCGTTTCTCGTGCTTGTGCCGGCGCAGGCGCTTGGCCTTTTCCCGCGACAGCTTTTGGCGCGTCGCACACTGGATCTTGAGAATGGCGTCCATGTCCACGGGCGGCGGCTACGCATGCCATGTTGGTTGACAGACAATATTGTGCACAAACGAATACCGCATTGGACTGTGCCACGCGTGGGACGAGGGACACAGGTGCCTAATTCGATCGTGAGCCTTGGGTGAGATTGAGGGCGTGACCTTGGTGGTGCGGGGGGTGCTCGACAGTTGAGGCAGTGGTATCTACAGCATTTGCTCGCACAGGCGTCAAATTACACATCGTAAGGCTACCTCGATGGACCGGGACGTGTCAAGGGCGAGGAGCAAGTCTTCGTCGTCGTGCTGGTTGATGGCGCTGAGTCGCCGCGATGTCGCGACCACGCCCCCCGGGTTCATCACATGATCGAGACGGACCAAGATGGATTCACAGAGGGGGACCCACGCGCGTTCTGGGACATTAGCGCACAATAAGATTTAGAAACGTAGTTGAATTGGAAGAGTACCGTAGACAAAAGCGAGCACGTGGGGTCCAAAAAGGGTCATGATTTCATCTTCATGGACCACGGCCTGCGTCTCGACGGCCGACTGCGGCTCAAAGAGCTTGAGCTGCAGCACGCACGTCGGCTCGATCTGCGCCACGTAAAACGACACAAAGTAGGTTAGTGCGTGGTAGTTCCACGAGCCGCTAAAGACGACCGTGTCGGGCGTCGGGTCGGCGCCGTCCATGCGTCCATCGCCACCGTCGCATCCGTCGTCTACATAGCACAAGACAATATTTCGTTATAAAATCCAAGAGTACCTTGTAACACAAACACGTCAGCGGGTCGCGACCCCGGGACGCGCTCCAGAGTCTGGTCCCGCACCTGCGGGTTCGTGTCGTCCATCTCGAGGTACATGAGCAGGTCCGACGTGTCGGCACTGGTTTCGGCGCCGGGTTCGAGCAACTGGGACGTCGATTTGGCGCTAGGTTGGTTCTGCAAACTCACCTACACCCACTGTGTTATCAACAGTTAAAGAGGGAACACGGCGTACGGTCTCGAGCACCCAGGCGCAGAGGACGGCCGCTGGCGTAGAAATGGGCACCAAATAGGCGGGTCGGAATTTCTCGTTGGTCAAAAATGGACTCAGCGCCTTCATTTTGAACGCGGCGACTGGAGGCCCGTCGAGAAAGGTGTGGAGCGTTCGAAGCAGTTGCTTGCCGTTTGCGAGCAGTGTCCGGGCCGTGGACCAGCTCACATCTTTGGGGACGAGGTCCCCGGGCGTGAGCAGAATCATGACGGTCGCCTACGCCATTCTAAGATTGCAATACGAACTTGATGTGTGGCATACGACGATGAGTGCAACGACTTGCGGCGGGGCTTCGTCGCGGCTGAGCGCCTCCAGTTCGAGGTGCGTCACCGAGAGATTTTGCAGCGTCAAGACCACCGGGTTGGTCTTCTTGTAGGGTTTTTTGAGCCGCTTATTCGGCTTGGTCGCTTGTTGCTAGGCCATTTTAGTGTTACGAGCGCGATTATATTCTAGTACCCCTGGGCGAGGCGGTTTCTTCTGATGGGGAAATGACTCGGCCGAGACGCGCGGCTTGACCTTGGCGTACTTGGGGTTCGTGTAAGGCACCGTGACTAACCAAGCACACGATAGCACATGGTGGCATCACGTTGGAGCGACGCACCGTGGATGACAGTACTGGGCTTCTTCGCCGGCGGACCGTCGTGGACCGTGTGCATGAGGTCTTTCAAAGTCTTTGGCGGCGACATGGGCAACGACGGCAAGTAGCCCTTGCGCTTCATGAGCGCCGACGAGTCCATCACATGCACCTAGTCCGGTTTCGATATACCATTGATCGATTCGACGTTGCAACCTACCCCTAAAGACGACTCCATCGGCATGGACAGCAACTTGAGCTGCATCTCGGCGCGCTGTTGCCACTGGAGCACCTCGAGCGTACTCATGCCACTGGGCGGCGCCGTCTCGGCTGTCTCGGGGACGCTGGCGTCCGGGGGCACCTCGGGGGGCAATTCGTTCAGATGGAGGCAGCACCAGACCAAAAATGCGTCGGCCTGCGTGACAATGTCGCCTGCCGTTGCCTAAACAAACGTAAAAACTCGAGAAAAAGCTGTAAAAGTGTACTGTACCTCGTTGGGGACCGTGGAGACGAACGGAGGGGACGCCATGCTGTGCACGGGCTCGAGGTCGCGGCCGGGAATCGAAGTCGGCAGCATGAACGGGTTGCGCACCATCGACTCGGGCGCGACACCGAGGACGTCGGCGAGCCGGGGGATCTCGGCGAGAAAGTTGAGGTCGTCCAGCATACGGTGGACGTAGCTTTTCCCGCTAAAAATGTACGTTTGGGGGGATGGCAGTTGCTACCAAAATGTGGTGAATCGTGTCCTGTCTACCAACACAATAGATACCAGTTGCCACTCGTAGAGGGCTTGGACGACAGCGACCGACGCGTCACGCGTTTGCAGCAAAATCGAGAGCAGCGAGTCGGCGTTTTGGACCTTGAGCGACGTGACGTCGCCGATCGAGATGCGCTCCGCGACGCCCTTGAGACGGCTCACGAGCCCTTCGCGGATCAGAATGTTCTTCATCACGAGAATTTCGTGTTTCGGGTCGCTAATCTCAGAAATGAAAAGTCGAAATGTGCCAGACAATAGGTACATACGTGGTCGGGACACTCGAGGGCTGCTGGCACCCAAAGGCCTCTTGGAGGTGGGCAATGTTGTGCTGGATATCACTCGCATGCACGTGCTTGTGTCCGTGCTCGAGCACCTGCTTGGTTTCGTGGGCCTCTTTGATCTTATTGTTCGTGTAGCTCAGCGTGTCCTTGAAGTCCCGCGCGAGGTTGGTGAGGCCGTACTCGGCGGGAAACGACGTGTCCCAGCCAAACTCGCGCTTCTGCGTCGCGTTGAGCTTCGTTGTTCGGAGCGGTTTGGGCTTGAGGCTCTTGGCGTCGCGCAAGGACTCTTTGGTCGGCGACCCGTGCCACCCCATTTCCTCGCGCGTTAGCGCTGCGTGCGACTGAGTATAGTGAAATCAAGAGAGACATACCGTGGAAGGGGTGGTTCATCACGGGCCGCGCGGGAATCGCCTTGTGCAGGGACTCGTGGCTGCTCGCAGCCCGCGCCTTGGGCCGGTACGGGTAGTGCAGCGCCGATGCCATGCACCGAAAATTAGTGCGCAACCGTTCGCATTTCGCGCACGCCGATTGGCTGCATCGAGATCCTTGCCCGTTTCGGCTTCGTTTCGGACATGTCCTGTTTTGAAATCTGCTATCAACCAAGGGCAGACGAGTTACTGGCAGTGGCCTGCTCGTTGATTGATTCTGCTCCAGTACGAGTGCGCTCCAGACAGTGCTGGGATGGATAACAGTATACATGCTGCACTCGGACAGCTCCGCTGAATGGGACTTGTCGTTCGTGCGCACGGAAGCCAAGGTACTGATACGCTGGGAAATGAACTGAGCAAGAATCGCCACTAGCTAGCACTGGATCTTGCTCGGTGTTTTGGCCACGAACATACGCTACCATGGCATACCGAGGGACAGGAAGATAGGCAGTGAGGGCGTGGGTCACACCCTTCGGGATCCTAATTAGGCATTTTCGGAAAGGCCGCGATCATGGACCGGCTTGCACCCGAGAGCCTCCAGTGCATTGCGGCGTACGTGGCGGACGCCAATGAGCTCGTCGCGTTCTTGCGTCTGCTGCCAACCACCGCGCTCGGGCCGTCGTTTTCGGTCCTTGTGACCACTCGGCGATTGCACCGCCGATGGCCGCGCTTCTTCATGGATGCTGATGTCGGTGGCGACGACATTGTCGCACTCCAATCACTCGTCACCAGCGTGCACGTCCCGTCGCTGAAAGCTCTCTACCAGGTTACATCAAACGCAGTGCTTCGATCCCACGTGTTGATTCAACTGGTGCCGCCGATACACCCGTACAAGCTGCAGCACCCGGTCTTGCTCCACGTGCGATCGCGGCTCAGTTGTCTGCACCTCGCAATTCCGACGATGGAGATGCCGGCGCCGCGTATCAAAGCGCTGATTTCATTTCTGGCAGCGTGTCCTCGTTTGCTCACACTACATCTGGCGTGGCGCGTGCAGCTGCAGCCAGCGGTACTCCAAGCGCTCGTCGACAAAGCTGTCATTGCGCAAGGGTTGACCGAGCTCGCGTTGCAAAGTGACGTTACGTACGAGCTGCCAGACGCATTGGCAAGCGATTTGGCTTGTTGGATCCAACAGAGACCGTCGCTGACGACATTGAAGCTGGAAAGCATTGCAATGACGGACGCGGCCAGCAAAAACGTCTTCGCGACGCTGCTTGCTCTCCCGCAATTGACGACGCTGTCTCTGCAGAGCTCGGCGGCGTTGGCCGCGCAGTGCTGGCGCCCACAGCGGCTTCCATCGCAGCTGCGAACCCTCGACATTTCCGCCTGGGACGGTCGTGCCTCGATGGATGCGATCGTTGCGCTGCGGACTGTACCCCACCTTCGAGACTTTGCCCTTCGCGGTCACGCCAATGTCGATTTTTCGTTCGAGATCCCGCGCCGCCTGCACCGACTAAGCCTATGCGTCGGTCAAGTGCCGTCGAGTCGGTCGTGGTGGGAGGCGCTGCCGTCGTCGCTGCACGATCTCGAGCTGCAGCTAGGTCGGGGCGACGACGACGTAGCGCTGCTCACAGCGTGTCTTTTGCGACTGCCCAAGCTGCAGCGATTGACTTTGAACGAGTCGAACATCACGTGTGATGGTGCCATCCAGCTCGCGGCCGTGTTGCCCCACTGCCAGGTGCTTCGCGCTCTGAGCTTGCGTCAGAATCTCATCGGACACGACGGTGCAGTTGCAGTCGTTGCCGCTCTAACTGGCCACTTGGCTCTCGAGCAAGTGGACTTTGCGCACAACATTATACCGGTACCTTCCACGCACGTCCTTCAGCCCATCGGGTCCTGCTCACTACACCGGTATACTCTCAACCTGGAAGAGAATAATATGTAAATCGACAAGCTAACTCGTATCATTAACGTATCATGTGCTGATTCGAATTGGTCAGTCCCTTGTGTTGTCCCTTGATTTCGTGCACCAAGCATATTCCACTTCTAAGAAACGGCAGCACTTCAGCGACCACGAACGGCTGCAAGCAACTGCAAAGTAGCCATACATAACTCACAACAACACTGTATATGTACACAACATAATCCCTGTCCTTCAACTACGAGCCTTCCGTTCAGGCACCTACTCTTCATCGCCATCATCGTGGTGGTTGGACAGAAAGGCCTTGTAGCAGCCCGCGCCCAAGGTCGCACCGACCATCGGCGCCACCATCGGCACCCAAAAGTAGTGGTTCGCGCCCGTAAAGACCTCCGAGCCCCACCCCGCGAGGTACGTAAAGAAGCGCGGCGCAAAGTCGCGGGCCGGGTTCAACGCATACCCCGTCGGCATGCCAAAGCTCATGCCAATCGCGACGACGATCGCGCCGACCGTGAGCGGCTTCATGATGCCGTTCGTCGGCATGTTCTTGTTGTCGTCGACGCTCATGATGGTGAGGAGGAGCATGAACGTGCCGAGCATCTCGCACACGAACGCGCTGCCGTGGTGCTCGTACGACTGCGGGTAGGTGGCAAAGATGCCGCCCGTCTTGTTCCAGAGGCGGTCGCCGTCGTAGTGGTCGATGGCCGGGAGGTAGATGATAAAGACAAAGAGCGCGCCGAGGAACGCGCCAATCATCTGCGAGACCATGTAGAACGGCCACTTGCGCCACGGCATGATGCCATAGACGCAGAGTGCGAACGAGACGCTCGGGTTGAGGTGCGCGCCCGAGACGCCGCCGGCCGCGTGGATACCAAACGTGACGGCGAGGCCGCACCCGATCGAGATGTGCGTGTAGTCGCCGTTCTTGCCCTCGCCGAGGACGACCTGCGCGACGACGCCGTTGATGAACGCCATCATGACAAACGTGCCGAGGACCTCAGCGATGCACTCGCGGAGAAGCGGGTCGCGGACGCGGTACCACGGGCGCTTGGCGATCGGCTTCTTGTTGTCGAAGCTCGTGACCGGGAGGTAGTTGGTCGCGGCGGCCTGGGCATTTTCACCGCTGCTCGAGTAAGTCTCACCGCGCATGATGGAATGTGCTACTCGGTGGTCGAGGGCGAATCGAGTTGTGAACCATCGAGACGACGGGTGCTACGCATGTTGAAGTTGGCGCTCGTGCGGGCGCTTCAACGTCCGCTGGCCAATCCGAGCAAGCGCGACGCCGTCTGTTTGGAAATGGCTTGGAGGCGTAGCCCACCTGGCGGCACAGAAAAATGCGAAGGGCGGGGCGAAGCCTGCACCACGGAGCGTGTTCGGATCACGCACAGCCGACGCGCGTCGATTTAGTAACCTGCACTTCTTGCATCATACTCGTTTCGCGGCAGATGCTTGAAGAAGCCCTAATTTGCAGTCGATGGGAATGGCGGGGAGCGGCGAGCTTCGGATGAACGCCGGAAATGGCGCCCACCACGCAGGCTGTTCGTGGTGGTCGCGGTCGTCGAGCTTGTGCGCGAGATGACTACTCGACGTGTCTGGTCAACAAGTCGCAGTGCGGCTGTCGTCTTGACTCGGTCGTCGTCACTGTCTCGTGTTGACGAAGACGCGTCCGAGCGGCAAGTTCAGGAAAGGCATGGCTCAGCGTCCCACTCTTTTTCATTTCGAAACGCCAAAAGACACATGTTGCCGTTACAACGCGCTATGCCGACCACAAGTTGATTTGGATCACGAAATTCGACAAAACCAATACCGCTTGTGCTGAGAGGCGAACTCTTTCACATATTCTACATGGCTGGC